CGAGTCTATAAAATTTTGTTGACAAACGAAATGTACACAAAGCCATATATCTGGCTAAATACACATATCAGCCTGACTATTAGTTTTGCCAGTGTAACAGACAATATGACGAAAACTATGCATTCCAGAGTTAGACAGTCCTGGGTTTGCATCCTTCCTTGACCATTCAACAGCTTTATGACTTTTCATAGATCAGTTATCCTGTCTGTGCCTCATTTTTCTTCTCTGTTAACTGGGGATGAGTCATTTCCAAACTTCATTGTGCTGGGGAATGGTGATGCTCAGTAAAAATGTAGACTTCTAGACCTTATCCCCAAAGGCTCCCAGTGGGCAGGTCTCCGAGACCTGTTCTTGATGCCCTTACCCATGAACCACAGTTTGTGAAACACAGACAACATGACCACATGGTTTCAAGTACTGGCCTGGTACTCAGTAATTGCTTATTAGACAATAGCTGTTCTTCCAGGAGTCCTTAGTGGGAACAAACATCCTTTTAAAAATAACTTGCAGGGTTGGGGATGTGGCTCAAGCGGTAGTGAGCTCGCCTGGCATGTGTGCGGCCAGGGTTCGATCCTCAGCACCACATACAAACAAAGATGTTGTGTCTGCCGAAAACTAAAAAATAAATATTAAAAAATTTAAAAAAAATAAAAATAAAAATAACTTGCAATTTATATACAGAAGCAGAAGGTCCAGCATACCTTAAGAACTTTAATTGAAAAAATAGCATAAGAACTTTAATTGAAAAAAAGCATAAGATTTTGGTGTATACACACACACACACACACACGCATACACACAATGGAATACTACTCAGCATTAAAAGAGAATAAAATTATGGCATTTGCAGATAAATGGATGGAGTTGGAGACTATTATGCTAAGCAAAGTAAGCCAACCCCCCCAAAACCAAAGGCCAAATGTTTTCTTTGATAAGTGGATGCTGATCCATAATGGGGGGGGTGATGGGGAAAATGGAGGAACTTTGATTGGGCAAAGGGGAGGGAGGGAAGGGAAAGGGATGGGGGCAGGAAAGATGGCGGAATGAGATGGACACTATTACCCTAGGTACATGTGTGACTGCACATATGGTGTGATCATGTACAGAGAAATGAAAAGTTGTGCTGCAATTGTGTACAATGAATCAAAATGCATTCTGCTGTCATATGTATCTAATTAAAATAAATCAATAAAATTTAAAAATCACATCACCAGGGCTGAGGATGTGGCTCAAGCAGTAGCGCACTTGCCTGGCATGTGCTAGGCGCTGGGTTTGATCCTCAGCACCACATAAAAATAAAGATGTTGTATCCGCCGAAAACTAAAAAATAAATATTAAAAAATTCTCTCTCTCTCTCTCTTTAAAAAATAAAAATTAAAAAATCACATCACCTTATTCTAGTGTTATGTATAACTAATTAGAACAAATTTTAAAATAAAAATTAAAAATAGCCTAAGACTTGTTCAACATTCATGTGTTGAATATTTATTGAGTGCCTGCTATGTTCCAGGCAGTGTTCAAGGACTGGAGAGAGAAAATATCTGACTCAATAATCTGAGTCATGGAGGTAGGCAGAAGTCCCAGATGTAGTTATCCACACTCCCCAACAGCTTGCCTCTGTGCCAGGTGAGAAGTCCTCATTTGGGTTCCAGATCGATGTTCATTCACTTGCTGCTGGAGGCATTGCTTGTCCAATGATGACATGATGCATGCAGATCACCTGGGATCTTGTTCAAGTGCAGATTCTTGAAGTCTGGGGTGGAGCTTGAGAGTCTGCCTTTCTCAAAAGCTCCCAGATGCTGCTGATGCCGCTGATCCACAGGTCACACATGAAGTAGCATGAGTTCACAGGTTAGGAAACACCTGCCCTAACCTTATGGTTTCTAGAGAATTCCTGGGAACCTGAAGGAGTTGAGTCTGGGAAGACTTGCTGATTGATCAGATGCAGGCAAGTTTTGCTCACCCTTCCTTCTGGGTCCTCTGTTTCTAAAGTCCACTCTCTCCCCTCCCACCTGTAGTCAGTGCCTTTACGTGGCCTCCTCTGAAGAAGAGTGAACATTCATTCCATTGGTTGTTCAGTAAATATTTCCCGAGTGCTTACTCTGTGCCAAGGCCTGTACAAAACACATAATTTGGCATTGACGGGAGGACAGAACCCAGCAGCTCTTGCCTCTTGGGCTCCAAGAAAAAACTGCATGCAGCTGGGGCTTGGGAGAGAGGGACAAGCCACCCAGAGCTGTCTGTGGCTGAAGACATTGGCCTGGCAGGATCCAGACTTGGCTCTACCTGGAATGTACGATACTGCATGCCTGGGAGAGGTGCCCCTCAGAGCACTAGCCTTCCAGTTCAGAGATGGCACTGACCAGTCCCAGGAGATGTCTGCAGAATGTGCCAGCCAGGCCACCTGTCCCTTCTTAGACTCTCAGACTTAGCCTGTTGGCCACAGATGGCAGAAGGCAATGAAGATCCCTGGGGCCTGCAAACGCCTCCTCCAAAACTGGCAGCAGCCAGTAAGTCCAGCCAAGTCAGGGGCCTGCCCAACCAAGTCAAGTGTGACACACCCCACTCAGAGCTGAGGGGCCCAGCCCAATCCAAGAGCCACCAAGAACCAAAGGCACTGGCTCTAAGTCAAGTTGAGCAATGTAAACAAAACCCTTTCACCTTTCCCAGGGTTTATGAAAAATCAAAGCAAATCTAGTGCTGGGTAAAGCAGTCACCCTGCATGTGTGAGGCACTAGGTTTAACTCCCATTACTGCCAAAAAAAAGGCTACAAAGCAAATCTTCTCCCCATCTGACAGTCTTAAAAAGATTCTTTCCATGTATTTACTGGTGAACTCACAGTCACACTTGGGGTACCTTGGCCTTTCAAATAGCACATATACAAACAACCTACAGAAACAAAGCATCTATATATCAGGACAGATTTTCAGGTTCGAATTCTGCCTTTATGGGATGTAAGCCCATTTAGGAAGATAGGTCCTTAAGTATATGCAGGGTTACTAAAATAAAACAAGTTGTCTTAGGAGCCTGGGGGTTGAAATAGGTAAAAGATTTTTTTGAGGCAAGCTGTGGAGATGGACCTGCATGAAGATGAGTATTATTAGTTCATTTTTCATTACTATAACAAAATAGCTGATGCTTGGAAACTTTATAAAGAAAAGAGGTTTATTTAGCTCACAGTTCTGAAACTTTAAGGACATGGCACCAGAATTATTTCCGTTCTGGTGAGCACCAAATGGTGGATGGCATCTCGCTGACAGGAGAGCACACAAGAGGAAGAGATCACATCTTAAGACAGGAAGCAAAGTGGGCGTGGTGGCACACACCTGTAATCCTAGCTACTCAGGAGGCTGAGGCAGGAGGATGGAAAGTTCAAGGCCAGCTTGATCAACACAGTGAGACCCTGTCTCAAAATCAAATAAAAAGGACTGGGGATGTAGCTCAATAGTAGAGTGCTTGCCTAGCCTGTGTGAGGTCCTGGGTTTGATTCTCAGTACTGCAAAAAATAAACTAAATGAGGCAAGAAGCCAGAATGGGAGATCAGGATCAGTTTTTAATGACAATGCTCTTTCCAGAACTTTCTTCAGGGCACCAGCATTCCCTTCAGAGGACAAGACCCCCAATGGCCTGAGGACTTTCCACTAGGCCCTGCCTCTTTATTTCTTTTTCTACTTGTTTTCTTTATTTTTTCCCTCAGTACTAGGAATCAAGCCCAGAGCCTTGCATAGGCAAGGCAAGCACTCTCCACACCCCAGTCCTATGCCCCAGCTCTTTTTTTTTGGTACAGGGGATTGAACTCGGGGATACCGAGTAACTGAGGGGCCACATCCCCAGCCCTATTTTGTATTTTATTTAGAGACAGGGTCTCACTGAGTTGCTTAGCACCTCATTAGATTGCTGAGGCAATCTTCCTGCCTCAGCTTCCCAAACTGCTGGGATTACAGGCGTGTGCCACCAGCGCCCGACAATGCCCCAGCTCTTGAAGTTTTCATCACCTCCTACATTGCCACACTAGGAATCATACTTCCAACTCATGAATCCATAGGGAACAAGACACATCCAAATGATAGCAGGTGGTGATTTAGATGAGACAGGGATGGTGAAGGATGTTCCAGAGAGAGGGATGGTATCTTCCTGGTTCACCTCAATGCAGTTGGGTACAGTGTAGGATGCTTCTCCGCAGGAGGGAACTTCCCTCTGTCCAGGAAAATCTACTAGGAGCTGCCTGAGGTGAAGGTAACCTGAAGGTACAGGCATCTGCCTGTAGGTGCCCCAGGTTGCAAGGAGGAGATGAGACTGTGCAAGTCAACTTCCAGCAATCTCCTCCCAGGAGATCTTCTAATGTGGGCACAAAGAGATCCCTGTTTAAAAATAGTGTTATAGGGTCTGGGGATGGGCTCAAGAGGTAGCACGCTCGCCTGGCATGCATGCGGCCCGGGTTCGATCCTCAGCACCACATACAAAGATGTTGTGTCTGCCGAAAACTAAAACATAAATACTAAAAAATTCTCTCTCTCTCTCTCTCTCTCTCTTTAAAAAATAAAAATAAAAATGGTATTATAGCATTCTTTATAACAGTGAGACCCTGGGAGCAGCTGAGTGTCCATTACTAGAGGACTAACTAAATAAAGCACAATGCAAACAGGACAAGGATGCAGAGGAGGGAGTGGCAATGTGTGGACACACACAATATGTGGAAAGAGTCCCAAGGAAAGCATAAATGACAAGCAAGTTGCAAGGTACTAGGTACCATGTGGTGTCATTTGCAATAAACAACAACAACAAAACCAATCACAACAAAAACCCCTACAAAATGAACCCCCCCACACTTTTGGTTCCGTGGATAAAACTTCTACTTGCTAAGCAGGCCCTCTGCTACTGAGCCACCCCTACCCCAGCCCCGAAGTGTGCATTTTTATCTGAAGACCTGCAGAAACACATACATATGTGTAATTTGGTCTTGGTGCGGGGAAAGAATCTGCAAAAAGACACATCAAAATGATGCTTGTTGCTTGTATTGGAATGTAAGGGGTGGGAGAGGAGTCGATCCTGTGGTTGTTGCAGGACACCCAAGAAGCCCTCTGCTTTTGGGTGCTTCTGGTTGCTCTACAGATGCTTAAAATCTTCCAGGGACAGAAGCATTGTTGGGAGGCACCATGCTCTTGGAAAGCTGTCTTGGGGCTAGTACTAGTGCTGTCCCTTGTGTAGCCCAGGGCCTGTTGGCTCCAGGGTCAGGGTCTCTCTGAGTTGTTCCAGCTGGACCAGCCTCAGACCCTAACTACATTCCAGAGCCTTCTCATGAACTTGAGCTCCAGCAAGTGCATAGAAAATCCGTACTTCCCTTTGACTTGGGTAGACTGGGCTAGGGCTGGGAACCTGTGTAGAAAGAAGAAAAAGTATATATATAACAGCAGAATGTTTTGACGTTATACATAGAGTGTAACTTCCCATTTTTGTGGTTGTACATGATGTGGAGTTACACGGGTCATGTATTCATATATGAACATAGGAAAGTTATGTCCGATTCATTCTACTGTCTTTCCTATTCCCATTCTCTCTCCCTTCCCTTCATTCCCCTTTGTCTAATCCAATAAACCTCTATTCCCCCTCCCCACATTGCATATTAGCATTTGCATATCGGAGAGAACATTCAGCCTTTGCTTTTTTGAGATTGGCTTATTTCATTTAGCATGATAGTCTCCAGTTCTGTCCATTATGGCAAATGCCATAATTCCATTCTTCTTTATGGCCTAGAAATATTCCACGGTGTATATATACTATATTTTCTTTATCCATTCATCTGTTGGAGGTCACCTAGGTTGGTTCCATAGCTTAGCTATTATGAACTGAGCAGGGAAGAGGAGATCCCTTCTTCGGTAGGTAGAGTTCCATTTTTTCCCAACACATTTAGCTTGAAAGTACCTGGCCCAGACTGCTCCTGAGGCCGCAAAGGTAGGGATAATTCATTACCTGGTGGACCCCAAGTGGTTAATGAGAACCCCTAAGTGGGTTTTGTGGGCTGGCTATAAGGGAAAGATAGATTGCATGAAGCCAGGGCTTGGGCTCTAGGATTTCATTGGCTTGCGTTGTGCTAAGGTTCGTATCTGTGCTGCTCTGGGCCCAACCCCTGGCTGGCTTCAGGCTTCAGAGATATGTTAAATGAGGTCCCTGCAGGAGGAAACCACAGGATTTCAGAGGGGCAGACACTGGGTTTGAACAGGGTCAAGCATGTGGCTGAGAATCAAGGTTCATCACGGGGCCAGGGGCTGTAGGACCTGCTGGCCCTGATGTGCCTCCCCCAGTTAAGCCTTCATTAATGGTGTCTTGGCCTTGATAGCCTTCCACTGTGGGAAGTGCTCCAGGGAGCAAGGTGGTAGCCTTGGGATCCTTCTTCAGCCTTGAGTAAGGAAGTTGTTCCCCCCAAGGGCCTTGGAGAAAGTGACTTGTGAAGCTGGGGTGGCCCTGGGCGCTATGACTACCGGATGTCCAGGACTTGCAGCCTAGCAGATGGCGAGCCCCTCCAAATGTGCTTGCTCTCCAGCGGTGGCCCAGGGGAGAGCCCTGGACAGGAGCTGTCACTCAATGCCAGAGCCACAAATATGCTTAGAAACAAGGGAATTCTTGTTGAGCAGATCCCCGTGAGGCCAGCTCCAGGCAGATTATCTGGCTGACACAGTTCCTCCAGGCAAGTTCCACGGAAAGAAGAACCCTGGCATCCGGGCTGGGAAGACCAGTTCCAGGGTAAGGTAGAGAGGACTGTGTTGGGTCATGGGAGATGGCCTGGAGAGCATCTGTAGTTCCCCTACTTATCCTGAGTTCAAGGAAAGGCCAGATGTTCCTGAGTGTCCAGCCCTCAGACCAGCCAGGCCTGGAGGGCATGTGTTCAGAGAAGCAGGCTTGTCGTACCTGTAATTCCAGCTACTTGGGAGGCTGAGACTGGAGGACTGACAGTTCAAGGCCAGCCTAGGTAACTCAGTGGGACCCTGTCTCCAAATTTAAGAAATAATAAAAAGGCTGGGAGGGGCTGGGGTTGTGGCTCAGCCTTAGAGCTGAGTGTGCGAGGCCCTGGGTTAGATCCTCAGCACCACATAAAAATAAATAAAAAAAATAAAGATATTGACAACTACAACTAGAAAATAAATACTTTAAAAAAAAAAAGGCTGGGGATGTAGCTCAGTGGTAGAGTGCCCCTGGTTCAATCCCCAGTATTACAACAATAAAAATAAAAATAAAGAAGAAGCAGGCTCTAACCTTGCCCTGGAAGACCTGGCTGCCCAGGGGGGAGGAGACATTCTTAGACTGGGAACCAGATGAAGCAGGACATGAGCTGGCGCTGAAGTGTCTGCTCAGGCCCCTTTGTGTGAGCAGAGGGGAGAAGAAAGCCAGGAAGGAACTGCTGGTGTGGTAGCTGGAGAAAGAGGAGGCACGTTCGTGTGTATTTGTGTGTAGCCACGTGGGCGTGTTGTGTGCCTGCGTGTGCCTGAGTGTGCCCGCACATGCCTGAGGCCACATCTCTGGAGTTCCCATCTCCTGCACTATTTGCCCAGACAACCTAAAAATAGTTTCCACTTAACTTTAGGACTTGTTATTTGATGTACAAGATGCTTGCCCAGCAGATACACTTTTCTACCCACATTTTATCTAAGATCAACATCAAGTAAAATGAGTCTGCATTATTTATGCATGCACAGTATGGCTAGCGAGCACAAGGCAGAGGACAGCCACCTAGGTTGGTGGGAGTCCACAGAGGACGAGCCCTGTGTGGATGACAAAATTGGACAGTGTGCATGGATTGATGATGATGGCATGACAGTGACAAAGATATAATGGAAAAGGACCCTGTATGGCTACTGGGGTGTCTGCCCCTTATTGCATCCACAGAGAACATAGCAAGCCCTCAGTGAATATTTACTGACTTTATTTGTTGGGAAAGAAAGTCCACGTTTGTGACAAGTGAGCAGATATGACTTAGATGATTGGAAATTCATCATGGACAGAAGACAACTAAATGATAAGTTGGATTTAAAAGTCAGCTTATCGAGGGCTGGGGATGTAGCTCAGTGGTAGAGCTGTTGCCTAGCCAGCGTGAAGCCTGGGTTCCATCCCCAGTACCACACAGACACACACACACACACACACAGGGTACTAGGTAGATGGCTGAAGGGTGATAATGCAGTTCTCAGATAGAAAGATCAAAGCATGGAGGAATGATTGATAAATAACCTGTTAATATTTGATAAAGGGACAGGAAAAGAGATATATATTGTGGCCTGGTGACAGGTCAATAGATACACATTCAGTTCCAAGTAGGTAGGTAGGTAGGTGGGTGGGTAGATAGATAAACAGAAATGGAGAACAGGAGAGACAGATAAGAGGATGAGAGAGAGATAGTATGGTAGGCAGAATATGGCCTGCCCTTGGGATGTCTGTTTGTTCCCCAGGACCTGTGAGTATGTTACTTTACATGGCAAAAGTTACTTTGCAGATATGATTAAGCTAAGGATCTCGATGGGGAGAGTGTCTCCTGGATGATCCAGGTGGGCCCCATCGAATCTCAGGTCTTATCACTGACCTCTCTCTTTCACTCTGCTCCAGGCTCCCCTGTGTTCTTTTTAGTTCTCAATCATGTCAAGCTCATTCCTACCTCAGGGACTTGGTACTTGCTGTTTCTCCTCTCGGGTCCCTTTTATCACTCAGATCTCAGTTTCAAACGAGCGTGGCCTCCCCATATCCAGATTTTTGTCCTGAAGCCTTGAGTACACTCTGTTCCTAGGGACTGGGTTAGGGCAACAGGATGTCCAGGCTCCTGGCTGAGCTGGCTGGCACCATCCCCAGCACAAGTCCCGCCCAAGGTTGCGGGATGGAGCAGTGTGCATGAGTCATCTGGGCCACAGACACAGTCCCCTTGTTGGAGGGACCTGAGCAGTTACGTTGTGGCTGACTCCAGGGGCCAATGGCCCGATTGAAAGGAAAGGTTAGGAATTTCCCCAAGTTCTTCAGAATCACAAGGAGCCAGGAGGGATCTGGAGAGTGGAGGAGCTGGCAGTGGCCCGTATGGATGATGCTGTGATCTCTGAGGACTGCCAAGTCCCCAGCCTAAGCTAGGTCAGGCTCACAGGGGCTCATCATTCCTGGGCAGAGCCTTCATCCATCTCCCATTTAAGGAGCACCTACTATGTGTCAGGCATCAAGCTACAGCTCAGGCCCTACCTTCAAGGAGCCTGCAGTCTAGTCTGGAGACAGGCTGGCAGGAAACCTTACAGATCTACTGCAGAAGGAAGGGCTCAGAGTTGGGGCACACAGAGGTGGGTGCATGGAACAGGTGATGGAAAGTAAGAGACTAGAGGATGAGCTCGAGGGGTGTGGTCATTCCAGGCAGCAGAACCAGCCCGGGTGTGTTAGTGTCCCAGGACTGCTGTTAATAAAGTCCCACCGACAGGATGACTTAAAACTTCAGAATTTTATTCTCCAGTTCTGATGACTGAAAGTCTGAAATTGGGATAAATAAGAAAATAAATTTGGAAATGCTCCCTGCAAAGGGTTGAGAGAGGATCCTTCCTGGCCTCTTCCAGATTCTGGTAGTCATAGCCCTCAACTAATTCCACATGTACCAGCCCTGCCAGGCTTCTCACCTGTGCCTGGATGTCCCCATGACAGGGTCCACAGCACCTTAAAGGCAAAGCCATTAAACATAAACAGCCCTGACTGTTGCACAATCCTGCTCCAGCCCAGTCACGCTGAATCCTGCCGGAGCTCTCTTCTGCCACTGAGAACCCTGTGGCCCCACCTGTGACCAGGGATGCCTCGGAATGCAACCCACCTGAGGCCACGTGGGGGACCTGCAAATAAATGTGACCCAACCCTCTCCTTAACCCACCTGTCAGGTGCCAGAAACTCCATGATTAGCAAGTCTGACAGCATCTGATAAGGACAAATGAATGCCCTTGGGGGAGGAAAGTAGCAGGGCAGAGACTTGCTTCAGGCCTGCAGTAGCCTGGTGACATCTCACTCAAATCCTACAGGAGATTTGTCCCCCAGATGCAGGAGCAGCTGTTCTGGGAAGCTGTATCCAGAGGTAGCAGGCTGCAGGGTGAGGGGAAGCTGAGGCAGCCCGGCCAGCAGGCAGGGAGGTTCCCAGGCCCCTCAGTGGGCTCTGCGCTCAGCCTCTTCCTCTCTCCCTCCTGCTCCCGAGTGCCCTGCACCTCCCTGGCTGAGAACCACCCCTTCACACACTCCCAGTGGCTGGGCTGTTGGTGGCCTTTGGACTGTGGAGGCCCCACACCCAGGCTGGCACTCCCCAGTATACAGGCGGGCACAGTCCTGCAGGGTCCTCAACTGGCCAGTCCTGTTCTGCCCTCTCTCCTAGGGGAGGAGCTGGGGGCTGGGCCAGCTGAAGCCAGGGGGCAGGGAAGAGGGCAGGGCCCGGACCTGCCCGCAGCCCGGTTCCTCCACTTGTCCTCCTGTGCCCATGAGTGTGTACTCTGGGCCGAAGCCCTGGTTGGCTCCTTCTTTCCTTCAGAGGGCCTGGAGGGCGCACGGGGAGATGTGCTCCCCACCAGACCCCAGGGGCTCGAAAAGACTGATTTAGGAGGGCGAGCCAGCCATGTCTAATAAAGAACTATTTCGGGTTTGCAATAATCAAGTCTAGCCCAGGGCTGCCCAAAATAGCCAGATAATGGAAGCCAAATGTCTGCGAGATGATTTGGCTCCAGAGGCCTAGCAGTTCAGGGCAGTCCCGAGGGGGGTGTCAGGAGGCTAGCCTTAGTCCCCGCTCCCAAATTCCAGGCCCCCTTCTCATCCCAAGGCATTGTCCAGGAGTGCCCCTAGTAGGTCCTCAAGCTAATGAAGCCCCTGGAGCCCCATCCTTATCAATACTAGTCAGTGCCCATGAAGCAGACAGAAACAAAAGGCTTCTTAGATTAAGGGCTTCTTGGGGGGATTTTATGGTGCCCCGGAGAGGGTAAGGAATGTGCCACCTTTGAATCTACTGCTCCCAGGGGAGAAGACACCTCTAGGTCTGGACTGATCTCATGCTGGGATCCAGTTCCTGGCCTGGGGCACCTAGATTGGCCTCTTTCCCTGGAATGGTCTGCCAGCTTTGTTCCTGAAGACAGCAAGCTGGGGCTTGTCCCCATGCCTAGAAGCCCACTGAAACAGACCCTGCCAGTGGCCCTATTGGCTCTGGTCCAATGGGGCTTGGTCCTCTGCTCAGGCTGGTCAAACCCTCATGAGCCCTCATTGTCTCCTAACTCACAGGGGAGGAGGGAGACCACAGAGTGTGCAGCGTAGGGCTTGTGGTCCACCGTCTGAGCCTGAGCATGGCACCCATACTGAGTGGATAGGGACCTATCCACGCCTATCCATGGCGCACCCTTGGAGAAGCAGGGCCAGCGCTTTTGCTCAGAAAGGAAATGTTCAGTTATTCTTTGTAGCAGAATTCTGCTAGGTGTCCCAATTCCTCATCAGGCCTTGGGAGGTCATCCGAGAGTCTGCTGAACATGATCCTGCTTGTCTGGGGGTACAGTCACCAAGTCCAGCAGATCCCAGATTTCTTACTGTTCTTAGTTGTCTTGTGCAACTACATCCTACACTTGAATTCTCTAGGAAACTCATCCTCCTCCTGATACCTGTGGGCTTTCTGAGTCCCTACCTCCCAAAGATGCAGCCTAACATAGGGATTAATTAGAACTGCACTACTGGGTAGCTGTGCACCCTTGGACAACATACTTAACCTCTCTGAGACTCATCTTAATTATAATATAGAAATAATGATAATCCATTTATTTGTCTGCTTGCTTGCTTGCTTATTTATTTATTAGTTGGTCCTGGGATTGAACCCAGGGTCACTCTACCACTGAGCCACTCAGTGAGACCCTGTCTCAAAATAAAATACAAAATAGGGCTGGGGATGTGGCTCAGCGGGCGAGTGCCCCTGAGTTCAATCCCTGGTACCACCCCCTCAAAAAAAGATCAAGTAAGACCACCCAGGGGCTAGGCACCTAGGAAGTGATTAATAAACACAGGAGGCATGATTATTATTGATATCTGTGGGTAACCGTCTTTTATCTGGTCCTTCTTTTCTGTCCCTCTTCTGCATTCCCCTAAATCCAGACTTCTCAGTCTGCACTTGGGTAGTTGTCAGATCCTGTTCCCAGGCAAGCAAAAGATGGAGTGTGCATCTGAGCACCCCCTGTGCCTGCTAAAGCTGAGTCCTCCAGAACCCACAGCACTCTCACTTTGGTCACCACTTACGCTTTTAATTCTAGGGGATTTCAAGAATCAGCATTTCTCAAAGCCAGGAAACAGAGAGGCAAGGGAGTCACCGAAAGCCACACAGTGAGTAGAGACCAAAGCTGGGTGGAAGTCCAGATCAACCTGCCATTCTCCCACCTCACTCAACAGCTCTCATTTCTTAAGTAGCCTTACTCTGGAGCTTTCCTGTTCAGAGAGGGAGCAACAGAGTAAGCAGCCAGCCCTGTGGGCCTGGAGCCCTAAGCTCCCCAGGCAGACCCACAGGCTGCCTGAGTCGTTACTGGCGTTGATGATTCAACTTCCTGCCTTTTGAGAGCGCCCAGACCACAGATTTTTTTTTTTTTTTTCTTAGAGGATTGGAGGATGGGCCACCTCCCTGTGGAGGGCTGGCCACAGTGGCACGAGGCCCTAAGGCGACTGGCAAGGACTAAGCAGACCCTAGGGGCCACACGAAGGCCCTGGCTGGCTGCTTCCTGAATCCTGTCTCTTTCTGGGGTAACCATAACCATGGAAGGTGACCAACTACCCTGGTTTACTTGGGACTGTCCCGTTTTTAGCACCCCAAGTCCTGAATCCTAGGAAACCCTCAATCGGGCAAACCAGGACTGTTGGCCACTCTATCACCACCTGTGTGATAGGACATAACTTTCTGCCTCAGTGATTCTGGGGAGTCCCAGCCCCAGGACAGCACATTCCAGAAGAGGGAATTGGCAAACTGTGGCCCAAAGGCCAGATCTGGCCTGTTGCCTGTTTTTGTACAGCCCGTGAGCTAAGAATAGATTTTACATTTTTAATGGTTGAAAACAAACCTAAAGAAGAATAATACTTCATGACATGTAAAAATTACATGAAATGCAAATTTCAGCATGCATACATAAAGGCACACGGCCATGCCCGTGCATTTACAGACTGTCTCTGGCTGCTTCCAGGCTCCAGGGCAGAGCTGGGTGCCTGTGACACAGACCTCAGGCACCTATTGACTGAAAGCCAACAAGGTTTACTAACTAGCCTTTTACAGAAACAGTTTGTGAACTCCTGTGCTAGAAGCAGGCAGAGGCTGAGTGTGAGTGGGCAGTGATGCTCTTCTGAGGAAACTCAGAACGGGAGAAGGAGGCAGAGATCAGAGGAGTGGGCGTGACAGCACAGCACTAAGTCAAGGTTCAGCACATTACCTGTGAGGCAGGGACCAACTCCAACCTCTTCCTTCTAAGACTCAGTTTGCCTGTCTGGTCAATGGGGTAAAGGGTGGTAGGGAGGCACTTCTTTTCTTTGGTCCACTGCCTTGTCTTCTAAGCTGAGATCATCCTCTTCTCCAATACTTGGTTGCACACCAGAGACTACTGTGTGACCTAGGGCAGGTCCTGCCCTCTCTGGGCCCAACCTGAGGTGTCTCCAGTCCACACAGTGGATTCTTCTCTGGCATTAAGGTGGACCCAGGTCCTGCCCCCAGCACTGGAAACTCCATCCCATGCAGACTTTTAATAATGATCCAGAAGCGCCTACTATGTGCAGGGCACTCTTAGGCCTTTTCCACATGGGGTGGGGAGCTTGCCCCTGACAAAAGGTGCCCGGGGCAGGGCACATTACTCCAGCGGCCCCCCTCCCCCACTTAGGTGAACATCACTGGAAACTGGCCAAATGCTCAGCCTTGCCCTGAGTCGTGCTGAGCCAGCAGGGACTTGGCAATCTGGAAGGCTTCAAGCGATGGAGAACTGTCAATGCCAGCTCTGAAGTGGGCTCAGCGCCTCTGCCCACCCCTGCCCTAGTCCTATAATAAAATAAACTCTCCTTTGTCTTCCAGAGGGCTTAGGAAGGGGTTTATCTTGAGCAGCACAATTCTTGGAAGGCCTGTGGGGAACTGACCTCAACTTGGCCTTGACAGTGGTCTGAATGGTCTGCTCAGGCAAGGACGAGGCCAGCCTTCTGCAGGCCTCCTCTCTGCCCTCTGACATCCTCAACTCCCTCTTGGGAACAGTCACTCACTAGGCCACCTCCCTCTTTTCCTGTGTCTCTACAGCTCTGGTTGCTGGCATTAGATGTGAGAACTTTGGAGAACCCAAGTAACTAAGGAACAGCAGAACTCACCACTGAAAGAGGTGGCCCATTTCCTGGCTCTCCCTGGAGTTCCTGCATGGGGTAGGTTAGGTCAGAGGGATAACTTGTTTTTCTTTTCTTTTTTTCCATACTGGGTATTGAACCCAGGGCCTTGTGCATGTTAGGCAAGCGCTGTACCAGTGAGCTACATCCCTAGCTCTGTGCTGGAGGTTGTTTTGTCTATCTATCTATCTATCTATATTTCTGGAGATTGAACCCCGTACCTTGCACATAACTAGCAAGTTCTCTATAACTGAGCTATACCACCAGTCATTTTTAAAAATTTTTAATTTTGAGACAGGATCTTGCTAAATTGCCCAGCCTGGCCTTGAACTTGTGATCCTCTTGCCTCAGCCTCCTGAGTAGCTAAGATTACACGCATGTGCTGCATGCCCAGTGCAGACTTATTTATTTATTTTGGTGGTGCTGGGGATACAACTCAGGACTTTGTGCATGCTAGGAAATGCTCTATCTCTGAGCCCCCAGCCCCTATTTTTTTTAAGTAAACTTTTCACTGAAGTATCATATATATGCAGAAAAGTGCACAAATCCTAAATGTACATTCCTTTGATCACATTTGGGTGACCAGAAACAGAGCATCCCCAGCCCCCAAAGTCCTCTGTCCCCTCTCCAAGTCACTGTCTTAGGAGTAACCAACATCATGCCTCTGACACTATAGATTAGTTTTGCCTGTTTTTTGAACCTTATGTCAATGGAATCTTATAGTATGGACTATTTTTATGCCTGGCTTCTCTTGCTGAATGAAATTCACTCATGTTGTTGAGGATAAAATACTTTGCTTGGTCTCATTGCTATATTCCATTTTATGACTATACCACAATTTATTTATTCATTCCACTGGTGAT